CTTATGCCTAATACTGTCGCCTCATATCGTGTGGCACTGGTGGAGCCACTGCAGCTAGCTTTTGGTACCGATATTTTAGTCTTCCTAAATGCATGATCTAGTCCAATGAATACAAGAACTCATACTTTAAGTAACTGGCAGAATGATCCACTAGCAAGGTCACTTTCCGAAACTCAAAACCTAATCTCTTTCTAATTACCACACAGTATAACAAAACTATATTAACTATACAGTATCTTAATTTTTTTATAAACTATAGCAAATCTATAATACACAGGAAAAGATAATAATGTTCAGATACATTACAAATACATAGATTGTTAGTACTGCTACATTAATATTAGTACATTACAGTAAACATAATCACCTAAAGAGCAAAATTAAAATGACAAAAAATATAGCATGTACAGGTAAAACAAATATGGCATACTGTACTGCATATAAATAAGGCATAAGCACAAATTACATAGGAGTAAAACTATATTTTTATATGTCATTATATTTATATTTCAAATGAATTGTTACTGGTGTCTGAGTATTAATATTCTGTCCTCCCACAAAGTTTTTATTTATCAAAAACCTGGAGAGGTGGTTCCTTCAGACTGGTATCCTTCATTATCCTATATTATCATGAGCTGGATGATGCCTCTGCTACCCTAGGGCGTGTTTCCACGCACCTGGTCAAAATTTTCTGTCTACAAATTTCAACAGTCTCCTCCAACTGGTCTTTGCGGCTCTAGGTGACTCCTCTGGTTTTTACTAAGTAATTTGAGTAAAAACTTAAGGAGTCTGCATGTAATTGCAGTGTAATGCAATTACATGCAGACTTTTCTGCATGTAATGTACTTTGTGAGTATTTTCCAAGGAAATACTCACACATAACTTGGTCTACGTCCATTTTTTTGTACAATTTCTCTAATTCACCTCGTATATAACAAACACTCCCCATCCGTATTTGTCATACCCGTCCCAACACTTGCTTTGATTCAATACATTATCGTTTGTTGGGCAAATGCTACCACCCATCGCAGAGTTAATTTTCACACACACTTTACTTCTTGCATACAAGCTCCTTTTCAGAAATTAATAACATTTCACCAACCTCATTCATGCTCAGAACTCTCCATACACCCCTATACATTACCTACAAAGATGTCAAACACTTGAATTTTAAAATCTAGCTGGACAGAATCATCAGAACAATTTGGGGGGACCTTCAACAGGCTTCCTGTCCTCGTCGAGGCCACTAGATTTAGTGCCCCTCAAGGTAAATCTGGTAAAAGTGTAATTTATTAAGTGTAGTTACAGGATGAGAGCTCCACTCATGGTGTCATCTTCCTAGTACACTTTGTCATATGATGCTTTGAAACCACAGACAGTTTTGGCCTCCATCACCATCTCACTAAAATTCTTCCAACCATCTACCACTCTGTTTGCAAAATTGAACTTTCAAATGTTTTTTCATAAGCTTTGTTTCCTTTGTTTAAATCTATCTTCTTGTTCTTGAAGTTGCAGTTTTCAATTTGTTTCAAATTTGTTTGTTATTATTTAGGGAGCCGGTCGGCCGAGCAGACAGCACACTGGACTTGTGATCCTGTGGTCCCGGGTTCGATCCCAGGCGACGGCGAGAAACAATGGGCAAAGTTTCTTTCACCCTATGCCCCTGTTACCTAGCAGTAAAATTGGTACCTGGGTGTTAGTCAGCTGTCACGGGCTGCTTCCTGGGGGTGGAGGCCTGGTCGAGGATCGGGCCGCGGGGACACTAAAGCCCCCGAAATCATCTCAAGATAACCTCAAGATCTTGTACATAGTGATCATATCACTTTTCTTTTATTTTCTAAGTTTGGTATATTAAACACCTATCTCCTCTCGTAGTTCTTTATTTTTCAGTTCTGGGAGTCAATTGGGTACATGTCTTTGAACCTTTTCCAGTTTATATATGTGCTTCTTAAGATATAAGCACCATACAACTGCTGCATATGCCTATGTTCACCGTAATATGCTTCCTCCCTAGTCCATAAATATCATACAGTACACCTAAATATCTTTCTCAAATGCCTTCAACACTAGCTATCTCTCTGCAAATGTTTGATCCACAGAACCTCTTCCATTATGGCACCCACCTTGTTCATCACTGACGACCTCTTCCACTGCAGCAGTGTTCAATAAATCCCTGAACTATATGTTTAATTGATCTCTAACCCTGTCTATGGAGGACAGAAGAAAATGTATATATGCTGGTTAGCATTGTAAATGTGTGGCCACGTTTGTGGTAGAAATTAATAATAATAATAATAATAATAATAATAATAATAAAAAAAAAAAAAAAAAACTGCAGCTCCCACCTTGTTCATCACTGACTAAATTTGTTGTTACCTTTTGCATTCTTCCATTCACTATTCTGCCATACTCATAGTTCAACCCGTCCTCCTAATAGAACATTGCATTTTAATGTGCCGTATACTCTACCTAAGGCCAGAAATCGTTATACTAGAAAATGGCAGCGACTCGCGAAATTGACATATTGTCCCGTTTTCTGTCTTCTGGTAGATTAGGATAAGGGCACTTTAGTACCACAGTTTCTTGACATTGAGATACCTTAGGAGGATGGGCTACATCGTTCACTACACTCAGACTAATGCTTATGTTAGTCTAATACTCACTATGCTCAGCCTTATTTACATACAATAGTACAATCACAGTTCCTTACCAATCATCTGATACAGTACCACTTTCCCACAGTATTTCGGGACAAATTATCCACTGCCCAAGAAGCCTGGTTGAGGACCTGACTAAAGGGACGTTGAGTCCCCGAAATCATCGCAAGGTAACCGTCATTACATTACTTTTTCTTCCCTTCTCTTCAGTGTAGTTTATAAACTCTGCACATGCCTAAATCATGCCTGCAGCTTTCTCATATTTCAGAATCTCTGATGATGTGCTTATCTCTTCATGTAAAAAACTTGTGGTATTCTATTTTACACTCTTCTCACGTCAATAAAACCAAGTAGTCTCCATCTGGAATCTCCGTGGCGTAGTGGTAAGACGCTCGCCTGGCGTTCCGCAAGCGCTTTGTCCTGAGTTCGTATCCTGGCTGGGGAGGATTTACTGGGTGCAAATCCTTAACTGTACATTGTTTAACTCAACAGTAAAATGGGTACTTAGTTGTAAAAGCGATTCTTCGTGGGGGTCGTATTCCAGGACACTAAAGACTTACCCAAAACGCTATGGGTACTAGTGGCTGTACAAGAATGTAACAACTCTTGAATATATAAATAAAAAAAAAGGATGTACTTATGTTCACATATGCATATCATCAATACCACCCATCAGATTTTCAAAGTACAGTGTTCCTGTCCCTACTTCTAAGTTCTTCTTCACTAGTTAACATTCTCCCATGTAGACTATAATCTGTCTAATAGCTCCATTAGCCTTTCTGCCAGTCTTTTTGCCATGTCCAGGGAATTTTTTGCTTTTTTTTGCCATGAATTTCCAGGGACACATTCTAAATATATCAAAAAACGTTTCTAAAACTGTTGGCATTCTTTCTAAGATTAGATATTATGTACCTCGCCCTGCCCTGGTGACGCTCTATTACTCTCTCATCTATCCTTATTACAATTATGGTATTTGTGCTTGGTATTGGTATACTACACAAAATCATTTACATCTTCTAATTACTCAACACAAAGCTGCTATTAGAACAATATCTAACTCTGGCCCCAGACAGCACACAGTACCTTACTCAAATCTTTGAATATGTTAGATATTAAGTCACTGCACATCCTATCATGTGTATTCTATATATTTAAAACTCTCAACTGCAATGTCAATCCTGACTTTAAAAGCTTTCTAGAAGGTTATAACAAAACCCATGGGCATCACACTAGAAACAAATACCTATTTGATATTCCAAGAGTGCGACTTAACCAAACTAGAAATGCTCTACAAATCAAGGGGACCCAGAATGTGGAATGACCTTCCCAGTCATATCAAAGGCTGTACCTCTCTCAACCAGTTTAAGAGTAAAACTTAAGTACTACCTAATTAACTCCATGTAACCTACCTTACCCCCTAAATGTCAACCCATGTCTTGCTATTCTAAATAATGCTGTTTGTTGACTAACTTGTACAATTGCTGATGTCTGCCATGTTCCCCCCCCCCTTTTTCTTTTTTTTGCACTATTCTTTTTTTCAACAAAATTTATACTTTAATCCCAATTACTATTAAGTTTTAGTCTAAGTGTTCCCCCCCCCCCCACACCTTGCCCAAAACGCTATGCATATTAGTGGCTTTAGGTATTGTATGTACTGTACTAGGTCTATCTATAAATCCAACATTATGTTTGTAATTCATCATCTATGTATGTACTTTTCCCGAATAAAAAATTTAATTTAATTTAATTTAATTAATGTTACTTCTTCCCACAATGACTTCCAATTTTTCCGACTTCACTATATCTCCACAGATTTCACGTTTTTTCTCTTGTACCTTCTTCGTCCCAACCAATCCTACTCAACAAATAAAACATCGAAAGAAAAATGGAGGAAATCTTTTATTGGTGAGGTCACCATCATGTAAATACACATAGATAGCCACATGACAGGAATGTGTCCAGTTTTAGTAGGGCTTGTATTTAGTAGGGAGAAGAGTATCCACAAAGAGTAAGTCACATACAAACTGTATTGGATAATTGATATTAACAGTCCAGTACTGCAAAAGTGACAGTATAATAAGAACTGAACAAATTGATTATTTGTATGCTTATGGTGAATCAGTCCGGTACCTGTAAATAGAGGCAGTCTTCGTTATAAGGATACTGTATGACCTGTTCTGTATGACCAAGGTCTGTTTTGGTAACAAATTCTTTCCATTCCATTAAAACTTCCATCCGACTGAGATTAATTTGATTGAGGCTGTACTGTAGTATACTGATTATACATACTGTATATAAATAAAATAACAAAAAGCTTCTTACACTATAACTTAATGGCCATACCTGCAACATCTTGATGTTCAAGGACATTCTGCAGGAGCCTGAATGACCGGGACTGGACAGGAGCCCCCATGTCTGCCCCACTTGTCGGTTGGTCCATTGTTACTGCATTACCATTTTGCTGTGGTCTCTGTTGAGTGCTGTAAAGGATGTTTATGTTAGTATTAATGTTCAATATAATTGTGTATTTTAACAGTCTAGTGAGAACAAGTTGTAGCAATTTCACACCGAGAAAATGTAACTATCTATGATGACAAAGTTTGTCTACCAAGTTTTGTAACAATACAAACATCAACAGTCAAAATGGTCATCTAATTTTGCTTATAGCCCAGATATAGTTACCGGTACAGTAGTTATTATTTGTTCAACACCTTTCATGAATCAACCTTTAAATAGCTAATGGAAATATACAAGATTACCTTTAACAAATTGGTTAATTCCCCTTTAGTAATAAAACACTTTTTAAAACTCAAATGAAAATGAATAAAAACTAAATACTGTACATTACAGAAGGAGACTACAGAAACGGAGTTAAAACAAGTACCTATATTAAGCCTACTGAACAGTATACTAATCAGTAAGCAAAATCAAAGCCATCACCATAAACAAAATTCAAAACTGAAATAAAAATCAACAAAACTTCACACAAAAATTAAGACTTGGAAAACAAAGGGTTAAAAATAATTTTTAAGGAATATGTGAGTACACAAAGACATATTACATGTTAGTTACTTCCGAGGAATATATGTAGAAACATGTATTGCTTTAAAATTATAACTAGTGGCTCTATATAATTTACAATGATTTGCTACAGAACAAATAATAAGTTGTCCTACAATTATGACAAATATAAATATACATGATTGTTACACAGGAAATTAGTAAATACTGAATAGCAGTAAAAAGTAGCTAATATATGATTCTGTAGGAACTATACAGTTTATTTTCAACTTATTGATAAATACCTCTCAAATGGAAGTGTTAATACTAACGGCTCAACAGCACATGGTAACCAATAGAGCAAAGTATGGGTGTATGAAGTTGCTTTGCCTTAAGGCTGTGATGTCTCTGCATTAATCCAAATTCACATGGTACATACCAAGTTATTCACCGAGTATCAGGGATATATATATATATACTCTGTATATATACAGTATATATATGACATCGCATCTTTGAGGCGACACAAATGAATGAACACACACACACACACAGGAATAGTTCAGGTGGTATACAAAAACAAGGTAACCACCAATTGTTCACAGACCCCCTTCTTTCTACTATACCTAGGGGCTGTCCGGCCTGTTATTGAGTCCGACATTTTTTTCTGAATGAATCTTGGGAACGCGCTGCAAAGGTACAGAAGACCATGTTAAGCTCTAAGAATATTATATGAACTGTTTTACACAGGGCATATTAATGACATGTTAGTGAGTACCATTAGGTAAAAAACACTGGATGTTGCTGAATGTTTTTTTTTTTTTTAGCATAAATTAGTTACAGCCAAAGGGTGCTAAGTGCTATTCAGCATGTCCTATTGAATATTTCTTCACAAAAATTACACACATACAGTATACAGTACTGTTTTTGATTGTCATGACATCAAACATTAAAAAAGTAGTACAATGAGTAGAGTATATATGAAATGTTCTAGTTATTGATCAGACATATTAAATATTACAAAATCATAACTAGCTATTAAAAAAAACATTGCTAAAACAGTATGAGGATTATAGGTGAGAGAAGATGAGTAAGGATGTGAAGGTTGACTACTTCAAGGTATCCAGGTCGCACACTATGGGGGTAGGCTGAGTGCCATATGTACGACTTACTTCTGTAGGCCTGAGTTGAGCTGAGCAAGGCTCTGTTGCATCTGATGGAGTGCATCGAGGGCATTGTTGTTTGAGTATGGCTCAGCTTGAGAGTTGTAAGGGTGGAATGCACCACTTTGGCCCTCCATCAAGGGAGCCGAAGGAAACTGTGGTGGAGATATTGCTGTTTCAGGGGAGTTCCAGACTTGTTGCTGCTGTGCTTGTTGCTCTTGCACTGGCTGAAATTGTTGTGACTGCCACTGTTGTGGTTGTTGAAAGTTGGATTGTTGCTGCTGTACTTGTTGGAAGTTTGTATGTGGCTGCTGGAAGCTGGCTTGTGGCTGCTGGAAGCTGGCCTGTGGCTGCTGGAAGCTAGCCTGTGGCTGCTGGAAGCTGGCCTGTGGCTGCTGGAAGCTGGCCTGTGGCTGCTGGAAGCTGGCCTGTGGCTGCTGGAAGCTGTTCTGTGGCTGCTGGAAGCTGGCCTGTGGCTGCTGGAAGCTGGCCTGTGGCTGCTGGAAGCTGGCCTGTGGCTGCTGGAAGCTGGCCTGTGGCTGCTGGAAGCTGGCCTGTGGCTGCTGGAAGCTGGCCTGTGGCTGCTGGAAGCTGGTTCTTGCATTGCTGTTGCCAGTAATGTCTGTGCTGATGGGAATGAAAGGATCAGCAGCAGCTACCACTGGTGAGGAGGTCAAGGTGGTTGAAAGTGGAGCCATGTTCTTTGGAGGGGATTCCCGCTCAATCATGATGGGAATGATGCGCTCTCTAGGACGATGCTTCTGTTGTGTCTGCTGTACATGGATGGGAATTGTGCAAGTTTGTTGTGGTTGCTGTACTTGAATAGGAATTATACGAGATTGTTGTGTCTGCTGGTGTTGAGGCTGCCGCCACGGCTGTTGAGTTCTTATAGGCTGTGAGTTTGGCAGCGACTGTTGGGTTCTTATAGGCTGTGGGTTTGGCAGCGACTGTTGGGTTCTTATAGGCTGTGGGTGTGGCTGAGACTGTTCAGTTCTTATAGATTGTGGGTTTGGCTGTGACTGTTGGGTTCTTATAGGCTGTGGGTGTGACTGCTGCTGCTGCTCCAGAGGTCGCTGAGGTGGTGGTAATGATTGCTGTCTTTGGAAACCTGGATGTTGATAAACTTCAGGCTGAGGCAAGGCTGTAGCTTCAGCTAGGGCCTGTACAGGAGGGGATTCAGGTCCTAATGACCTCTGTCTCAAAAATCTATTTTGCTGATGCAGTTGAAGTCTTTGCTGTGCTTGTTGAGCATGAGTAACAAATGATGGGGGTGGCGATGGTGTGTGTCTCTGGGCACACATCCAAGGCAAAGGACCTCGGTGGAGGCCTGTGGTAGGGCTCACTCTTGGACTCCTGTCACTTGAGGGTGACATTGGTGAAGTGCTATCAGTGTCACTACTGATGGGTGGAACATAAATAGACCCCAGTTGAGCATCCGGTGACGACACTTGTGGTGATGACGGTTTATTAGGCAATGATGCTTGGCGTACTATTCGGATCCCTCTAGCATTAGCTGAGGCTGTATTAGCTACAGGACTGGATGGGGGCGATTCCATATGTACTGGTATGTTTCGTGTTGTAGGTTTATTATTTGCTATCACAGATTTTGGCTTTGTGAGAATAGAGTCTTGTAGAGAAGTCTGCCTTAGGGGCATGGATTGTTGCTTGGGTATCTGTGTGATAGGAATTTCTGTAACTCGTCGAGGTTCTGTAAGAGAAGTCTGTCTCCTTGGACTAGGCTGCTGTTTGAAGATTTGTCCTGCAGAAGGCCCTTGTTCACTGGACACATTTATTGGAGCAAATTGTTGAGAAGATGTTGGTACTGTAGTTGTAACTTGATCTGGATTTTGATTGATTGAATTTGGTCTAGGAGATGTTAGATGTTTCGCATGCAGAGGCTGCTGTTCTGTTAGGCGAGAAGGCTGTGCATTAAGCTGAGGATATGGTAAAGAGTTTTGTCTAACTGGAGAGGTTTCCTTTATCCACGTCTGTTGCACTGGCATTGGTTCATTAATTGGCATTGTATTCACAGGAGGCGGGGAGTATACATCAGGGGGCTCTTCTGTTGGGGATACCTCAGGAAAAATGGTATGTCGTGAAGGGGCAGCATGATTTACAGGAACATATCTTACTGAGGAAGGCTCTTTAGCTGGCCCTAATTGAGTTGGTGAAGATTCCTGTACAGGAAATTGTTGAGCATGTATGAATTCTGTTTTGGAACCTTGTTTATTACAGGAGGGTTCTTTCTTAATAGGTACTTGTTTAACAAGTGAAACCCCCATTGCAGGCACCTGTTTAATTGGCAATGGCTCCTTTGCAGGCACCTGTTTAATTGGTGGTGGCTCATTTATGGGTACCTGTTTAATTGGTGAAGGTTCCTTTATGGGCACCTGTTTAATTGGCGAGGGTTCCTTCATCGCCACCTGTTTAACTGGCGAAGGTTCTTTGATAGGGGCTTGTCTAACTGGCGAAGGTTCTTTGACGGGGGCCTGTCTAACTGGCGAAGGTTCTTTGACGGGGGCCTGTCGAACTGGTGAGGGTTCTTTGACGGGAGCCTGTCGAATTGGTGAGGGTTCTTTGACGGGAGCCTGTCGAATTGGTGAGGGTTCTTTGACGGGAGCCTGTCGAATTGGTGAGAGTTCTTTGACGGGAGCCTGTCGAACTGGTGAAGGTTCTTTGATGGGGGCCTGTCGAACTGGTGAAGGTTCTTTGATGGAGGCCTGTCGAACTGGTGAAGGTTCTTTGATGGGGGCCTGTCGAACTGGTGAAGGTTCTTTGATGGGGGCCTGTCGAACTGGAGGAGGTTCTTTGATGGGGGCCTGTCGAACTGGAGGAGGTTCTTTGATGGGGGCCTGTCGAACTGGAGGAGGTTCTTTGATGGGGGCCTGTCGAACTGGAGGAGGTTCTTTGATGGGGGCCTGTCGAACTGGAGGAGGTTCTTTGATGGGGGCCTGTCGAACTGGAGGAGGTTCTTTGATGGGGGCCTGTTGAACTGGTGGAGGTTCTTTAATGGGGGCCCGTTGTACTGGCGAAGGTTCCTCAATAGGAGATCGAATAGGTGGTGAACATCTAGTATGACTTGGCTGTATTGATGATGGTTCAGCAGCAGGCAATCCTTGCACTGGTAAGGGTTCCTCTAGAAGGGTCTGCGTGGCTGGTTTTTGTTCAGTAACAAGGGGTTTATTCTGTTTTAAAATGCTTTCTTTTTGTTGGATATCTATGTCTGTCATTTGTGGCGACTCTGATGCTTCAAGCGAAGCAAAGGCTTCCTCGTCGGAAACTGGAAAATCGTTTGTTACTGAAGATGAGAACTCTTCCACAGAGGGCTGTGGAGAAATGACTGAATCTGGTGATCGATCTTGTTCTTTCGGTGGATATGTGACTGGACGAGGAAGCTGTATCACAGGCTCCTTGACTGAGACCGGAGTGAGTGAGCCTACTTTCTGCATGTTGGGTGCAAACATTGGTGAAATAGGCTGCGTTACAAGTGCAGTAGGTGAAGTGACAGGAGCAATAGGAGGAGTGACAGGTACTCGAACAGCTTCAGGAGGAGGGATAGGCGGTGGTGTAGGCTCACATGGCGCAGCATTCATTTGAAGAGAAAAGGGTGATGAGGATGAGATAAGAGAACATTGTCTTGCTGCAGGACCCTGTGTTGGTAATGGCGGGGCCACTGGTATAGAAGGACCAGGCTCCGTGGCCAGCTTTGGCTCGGGTGCAAGGGGAGATATGGGTGAGGGGCTAATTACAGGCGATGGTGTGACTGTAGATGGCATGTTGAAAGAATTCTCTGATATAACAAAAGGTGGTGGTGGAGGTGCAGGTCCACAGACATTTCTTTTGGGTTTAGGTGGTTCCTTCGGCTGTGACTGTAGCTGTGGCTGAGGTCCCATGGCCATGCCAGGCATAGGCAATACCTGGACGGCCCGACCCTGGGGAGTTGATTGCGCTGCCACTGTTGGGTTTATTGGGCCTGGTGAAGGCTGCTGGGCTAGAGGAGACGGCCGCACACCTTCTAAATGAGCATTCCTGTAGAGGCGCCTCTGCATCCTTGGCGACCTGTGGGCGGGGACGCCAACACTCGTGCCAGAGTTGAGGAGAGGGGAAGGATGCAGGAGGCAGCAGAGGGCACGACCAATCCTTGTCAGATCTTGGTGGGCATGCCTACACATATCTCACACACACACACACACACATACACACACAAACACTCAGCCAAGCTTCTGTCTGAACATTCTACATTCATATTACTGTCAGCACATCACATACTAGTCAAAAGTTGTACTAATGACGCTGAACTTGCCAAGCAGTCAATTGAGCCAACCAAGTGGTTAGGCAAACACATTCACACACCAAATATTTTCCGAAGCAATGGTCAGTTATATACATAGTATGATTTTTTATATTCTATTTACAATCACTGTTAAATCTAATTTAAAATGTGAACTGACAAAAATGAATCTAATAATATTTACAAATCAAGATAAAATATTAATTTCACAAAATATCACCATTAAATAGTAAAATATACAATACTGTAGCTCAAGACAACAACACCAGCCTGACAGGTGACAGATCAGGAGAGGTCAGGTGAACTGTATAGTAGAAGGAGGAGGAGAGGACATAGTCCTTCACCCAGCCAAGTCGAACTAACTCTTTATATCTCGGGCGACAAACAGGTAAAGAACCAGAGCGACAATGAACAGAACAGGAATATGCTGGACAAAAGAAGTCTCTCAGCACCCACAGGAATAACTTAAGGAGTATAAACAGTTTCTACACAAACGCCTGAAGCCTAGTAAACAAATGTGACTCATTATATGCGTATGCTGAGGCTGAAAATCCCGACATGATTGGCATCAGTGAGACATGAGGCCGAGAGGACATAATAGAAGGTGAATTTCATATCCCAGGATGCCACGCACCTTTCAGAAAGGACTGAACAAAAGCAGGCGGGGTGATGCAATACGTGAAAGGGGACCTGGATGCAACCAGTAATGAGGAACTAAACACCATGGGATCCTCAGAGTTGGTACGGTGCAACATACTAACTCAAGATGGTAACAAAATGACTGTGGGAGTATGCTACAGGGCATACACGGCAGCAGCACCAGAGGATGTTGCTGATCTGCATAACGTGATCAAAGCGGCATCAGAAACCCAAACCCTAATACCTGTATTTTAACCATGTATTTTTACACGTATTTTTACATATTTCTTATACGTACATTTACATATTTTTATATATTTGTACATATTTTTACATATACATTTTTACATATTTCAACCATGAGACCATAGATTGGGTAAATCTAACATCACAAGCAGAGAGAGAACAATTTCTAGATTCAGGACTCCTTTCTCATACAGCATGAGGTAGAGCCCACATGTGGTAACAGCATACTAGATCTTGTGCTAACATCAGAAGAGGGGTATGATTGATCAAATTCAGGTGGGGGGGGGGAGGGAGGAAAAACAAACCCCATCATGTGATCACCATATTTTGAGTTGGGCAACAAATACAGAAACCCACAAAGGTTCATGACGAAGAATTTCAAGATTATCATCGAGGTGACTATCAAGGAATGAGAGGAACTGGAAAACATCTCCTGGAGGGAACTGATGGGTGAACACGGTATGGAAGCATCTTGGCAAAACTTTAAGAATGTCATCACGGAACCCGTTCAAAAATATGTGCCAAAAAGGAGGGAGAAATTGAAAAGGAACTACAGTAGATGGATGACTCGGACAGTAAAACAAGTATTGATAAAGAGAAACAACCTCTGGAGAACGTATAAATCCAAGATGGTAATAACTGATTATGAGATATATAAAAGTGCACTAAACTCGCCCACCCAGGAAATCAGATCAGCTAAAAATCTACGAAAGAAAATTTGCCCAAAACATAAAGAAAGTTCCAAAGTCGTTCTATGATTATATAAGAAGTAAAATCAAACTAAGGAATATAACAATAACATGCAACATAATCAGGAAGAACATTGACAAACTAAAAGACTCGAAAGTCTGAGTCTGAAACTGAGTATACAGTCTCCGTGGTGCAGTGGTAAGACACTCGCCTAGCGTTCCGCGAGTGCTTTGCCATGGGTTCGTATCCTGGCCGGGGAGGATTTACTGGGCGCAAATCCTTAACTGTAGCCTCTGTTTAACTCAACAGTAAAATGTGTACTTGGTTGTAACAACGATTCTTCGCGGTGGAGATCGTATTCCAGGGACCTGCAATACGATCTCCACCGATACGATACAATACGTACTAGTGGCTGTACAAGAATGTAACAACTCTTGTATATATCTAAAAAAAAAAAAAAGAAAGAGAGAGAGAGAGACAGAGAGAGAGAAGTCCTAGGTTTGCAATGGAATATAATCTAAAGTCACAAAGCAGAACAACTATGCCTACCACTGAAATTACTTTTCACAAAGTCTCTGCACCAAGGGATAGTCCCCCGAGACTGGAAATATGCAAATACCACCCCTATTTTCACAAAGAACTCGCCAGACAACTACCGGACGATCAGCTTTACATCACACACCTGCACAAGCTCACGGAGAGACTCCTAAGGGAGGGAATTATTCACCATCTTTCAGTGAACAATCTTGTACAATCAACGCAACATGGGTTTGTTAAAAATGGATCCTGCCTTACAAACCTGCTCACATTTCTGGAAACGGTAACCAGCTATACTCAGACAAAGAACTTCCGGTTGACGTAGTATACATGGATTTTGCTAAAGCCTTTGACAAAGTACCACATGAAAGACTGGCAAGGAAATTACAGGCACAAGGAATAAATGGAAGAATACTAGAATGGATAACGCAAGGGTTAAAACAAAGAAAACAAAAGAGTCGTGCTAAATGGGAATGAATCTGACTGGAGAAATGTGGTGAGTGGGTTACCACAGGGGTCAATTTTGGGGCCAACCCTTTTTGTCATAAACATTAATGACATAGATGAGAATATTACAAACCACATCATCAAATTTGCAGATGACGCAAAGATTTATGGCAAAGTGGGAAATGATAATGATATTGAAGCCTTACAAAGGGATCTGCAGGAACTCCACAAATGGTCAGATGACTGGAAAATGCTTTTTAATATTGACATATGCAAGACCCTGCATGTGTGGCACAACCACCCATGGCACATCTACCAAATTAATATTACATTACAGCAGATTGATAAGGAAAAAACCTTGGAGTCAAAATCCACCTCTCTATGAAAGTTGCACAGCAGGTAGGAACAGCAGTTAAAAAAGCTAAGCAAACTCTTGGAATAATCAAGCATGCCTTCGATTTCAAGGAAAAGAAGGTAGTGATTCAACTGTATAAATCTCTGGCGCGCCCCCATTTGGATTACTGTATCCAAGCATGGAGACCTCATCTTCAGAAGGATATATGGCTGCTCTGGAGAAAGTGCAACACCGGGCAACAAAAATCATTCCAGAGCTAAATCAACTCACACATCAGGAACGGTTGAGGGCCACAAAGCTAACAACACAACAAATCAGGCATGGCAGAGCGGATCTTACTGAAACGTTTAAAATTGGAGGATGTTGATCCGCACAATTTCTTCAAAAGATCAGATGTAACACAAACAAGGAGCAACGGCAACGGAGCTCAACAACTCACAATGCAGCACTGAGAACAGGAGAGGCTTTTTTCTCCCACAGGGTTATTAACCTGTGGAACCTCCTACCCGTGAAGCCGTTAATGCCAAAAAACTACTGGGTTTTAAAGAACAGCTGAAAAACCCCATCAAGGCACATGGGGGAACATTCGACAAGTCGCCCGCTTCCTGTCCTTGTCGAGGCCACTCCAGAACCCCATCAAGCAGTAGTATCAGTGGCTCTCAGGTAAACTCAGATCAAGGAAACCATGTTGAACCTGACGAGTCTAATCAAAGATGGTCTACCACGCTAGGACGCGAGTCAGGCCAAACACACACTCCCTAACCATCGTGGCCTGTGCAAGATTTCCTCTCATCTTGCCCAACTGTCAGGTCATGGATGTCTCATTCTCGAGTATATCATTACAGGAAAGCCACATGGCATGATTCACAACAAGTAAAGGAGGACTCACTTGATCTCAGAGAGGTCTAGGCCTCCGGGGGTGTAGGTGAAGGGCTTCTTCTCTTTCATCATAGCGCCCGCCAGAGCTGCCGGGGGATTCATGACTGGAACGCGTGCAGGAATCTGTGGGAAAGTATGAATCTGAATCTGTGGGAACTCATACTAAATTCTGAATATGTTGAATATACACAATTTTCATGCTGATTTTTGTGTCATCTGCAAAAGACGATACGAATTTGTGATGTATTTTTGTCTATATCTGATATGAGAATAAGGAAAAGCAGCGGTGCAAGGACTGTACCCTGAGGTACAGAGCTTTTAATTGCGCTTGGACTCTCTTTTATAAGGTTGACTGTTACTCTTTGTGTTCTGTTCGACAAAAAACTGAGTATCCACCGTCCTACTTTACCAGTTATTACAATTGACCTTATTTTGTGTGATATCACGCCATGGTCACATTATCCAATACCTTTGCAAAGTCCGTGTATACCACATCAGCATTCTGTTTTTCTTCTAATGCCTCAGTGACTTTGTCGTAGTGATCAAGTAGCTGTGAGAGGCATGATCTTCCCACTCTAAACCCATGTTGACCTGGGTTGTGGAGGTCATTGGGCTCCATGAAACTGGTAGTTACCTAAGTGTAATTACTTAAGTGTAGTTACAGGATGAGAGCTACGCTCGTGGTGTCCCGTCTCCTCAGCACTCTGTCATATAACGCTTTGAAATTACTGACGGTTTTGGCCTCCACCACCTTCTCACCTAACTTGTTCCAACTGTCTACCACTCTGTTTGCGAAAGTGAATTTTCTTATATTTCTCCGGCAGCTTTGTTTCGTTAGTTTAAATCTATGACCTTGTTCAAGAGGTTCCGGGTCTCAGGAAATCTTCCCTATCAATTTTATCGATTCCTGTTACTATTTTGAACGTAGTGATCATAGCCTCTTTTTCTTCTATCTTCTAGTTTTTGCATATTTAATGCCTCAAATCTCTCCTCGTAGCTCTTGTCCTTCAGTTCTGGGAGCAACTTAGTGGCATGTCGTTGCACGTTTTCCAGTTTGTTGATGTGCTCCTTAAGATATGGGCACCATACAACCGCTGCATATTCCAGCTTAGGTCTAACAAAAGTCGTAAACTTTTCTTGGATGGAGTATTTCTCCATCCATGTATTTAAAAGCAATTCTGAAGTTAGAAAGCATAGCATAAGCTCCTTGCACAATATTCTTTATGTGGTCCTCAGGTGATAGTTTATCTAGAATCACCCCTAGATCCCTTTCTTTGTCAGAATTCTTTAAAGATTTCTCACATAATATATAGGTTGTGTGGGGTCTATGTTCTCCAATTCCACATTCCATAACATGGCATTTATTCACGTTAAATTCCATTTGCCAAGTGTTGCTCCATATACTTATTTTGTCCAGGTCTTCTTGATAGGCCTGACAATCATCTAGGTTTCTTATCTTCCCTATTATCTTAGCATCCTCAGCAAACATGTTCATATAATTCTGGATTCCCACTGGTAGATCGTTTATGTAGACAATGAACATTACCGGTGCAAGAACTGAACCCTGTGGTACTCCACTCGTGACATTCCTCCAATCCGATACCTTGCCTCTGATTACGGCCCTCATTTTTCTGTCAGTTAGGAAATTTTTCATCCATGTTAGAAGCCTACCTGTCACCCCTCCAATATCTTCCAGTTTCCAGAACAACCTCTTATGTGGAACTCTGTCGAAAGCCTTTTTTAGGTCCAGATAGATGCAGTCAACCCAACGATCTCTTTTCTGTAAAATCTCTGTGGCTTGATCATAACGATTAACCAGTCTCCGTGGTGTAGTGGTAAGACACTCGCCTGGCGTTCCGCGAGCGCTATGTCATGGGTTCGTATCCTGGCTGGGGAGGATTTACTGGGCGCAATTCCTTAACTGTAGCCTCTGTTTAACGCAACAGTAAAATGTGTACTTGGATGAAAAAACGATTCTTCGCGGCAGGGGATCGTATTCCAGGGACCTGCCCGAAACGCTACGCGTACTAGTGGCTGTACAAGAATGTAACAACTCTTGTATATATCTCAAAAAAAAAAAAAAATACAAAAAAATAAAAACTGAGTAAGTTCGTTACACAGGATCTTCCAGATCGAAAACCATACTGTCTGTCTGATATTATATCGTTTTTCTCCAGGTGTTCTACCCATTTAGTTTTAATTATTTTTTCCAATATTTTGACTTGTCACTTATGATACAGGTCTATAATTAAGGGGGTCTTCCCTGCTGCCACTCTTGTAGATTGGAACTACGTTAGCCTTTTTCCACACATCAGCTACAACTCCTGTAAACAGGGATGCCTGAAAATTCAGTTGAAGTGGAATGCTGAGCTCAGGTGCACATTCTCTCAGAACCCATGGTGAAACTCCATCTGGACCAACTGCTTTGTTCTTACTGAGCTCCTTGAGCATTTTCTCCACTTCGTCTCTAGACACCTCTATGTGCTCTATGTTGTTCTCTGGAATTCTTATTGTGTCTGGTTCCCTGAAGATTTCATTATGTACAAACACACTTTGGAACTTTTCGTTTAATGTTTCACACATTCCTTTTCATTTTCCGTGAATCCATGTTCCCATTTTCAACCTCTGAATATTATCCTATACCTGCAACTTGTTGTTTATGAATTTATAGAATAGACCCGGTTCTGTTTTACATTTGTCTGCAATCCCTTTTTCAAAATTTCTTTCTGTCTCTCCTCACTGCCGTGTAGTTGTTTCTAGCATCTTTGTATCGCTGGTATGTTTGGGGGATTGGCCTCTTCCTGTATTGATTCCACTTTTGTGTCTTTTGGTCTCTGGCCCTCTCGCAATTTCTGTTGAACCAATCCTGTTTCCTAGTTCTGCATCTCTGTTTTGGTTTAAAAAAATTGTGCCTTTATCATATATTTCACAAAACTTGACATACATCTCATTCACTTCCTTCCCTAGCAACAAGTCTGTCCAATTATACTCACTAAAAAAATTCTAAGGTTGCCATAATGCCCTCTCCTGAAGGTGACCTGACTCCTGATCACTCTCTCAAATACTTTTATTATGTGGGACGTTAGTGCAACTGGGCTATAATTTTTAGCCAATGCTTTGCTCCCTCCCTTGTGTAGAGGGGCTATGTCTGCTGCTTTAAGCGCATCTGGTATCTCCCCCGTGTCCAAGCTCTTCCTCCACACTATACTGAGTGTGGACCCGGGGCTGAGTGCATGTTGCACTCACTCATGCACTGAGTGAATGTTGAAATGTTGTCAATTTCTCTTTCAAAATCTGCAGCGTTCATGTTGATATCAGTTACATTTTTAGACGTTGGGTTTATAACACATAAATAAAAAGAAATCACTACTATTTGATTGTTTAAAACAAATCTGTCGTACATTTGGAAGAGGTCATTTGTAGTTGACTATTCATTCAGACTGATTCCTGGAATTCTCTCTGGTATAACGGTATTTGCCACATTTTCCCATTTTAGATGTCTTAAGTTGAAGTTACCAAGCAAGATGATGTCTGGGGCAAGGTTTGTGACGTTTTCTAAGTTTTTTTTTCCTAATTCTGTTTTCATAAGTTGGTCTTTAAACTGCTGAGGATTTACATCTGGTGATTTATATACAAGGACAATCGCCACCTTTAGAATGTATATTTTGATTGTCAGCACTTCCATCATATTTGTTCGTGGTGTTTAGCAGCTCGGTGCACACGAGTGTGTCTTTGATGCACAGGCTGACCAAACCAGGAGCCGGTCGGCCGAGCGGACAGCACGCTGGACTTGTGATCCTGTGGTCCCGGGTTCCATCCCAGGCGCCGACGAGAAACAATGGGCAGAGTTTTTCACCCTATGCCCCTGTTACCTAGCAGTAAAATAGGTACCTGGGTGTTAGTCAGCTGTCACGGGCTGCTTCCTGGGGGTGGAGGCCTGGTCGAGGACCGAGCAGCGGGGGACACTAAAAAACCCCGAAATCATCTCAAGATAACCTCTAGATCTCAAGATAACCCTGTAGCCTGTGTTTCCTGTCACACCTGAAAGGATTGTACTCCAGTATTCATATTTCACTGTCATAATAGTCCTTGGTGTGAGTTTCAGTTAGAGCTGCAAATATTGCATTTGTCTCATTTAAAAGGTCAGATATAAAGTGAATTTGTATTGCGTGCTACGATACCTTGTGTGTTGGCCAATAGGAAAGATGTTGTGGTATTTGAGGAAGTGCTGGGTATTTTACCGGGTGTTAGTAATTGTGGTTCTGGTAAGGGTGCCTCATTACCTATGTCCTGTCTAGCATCTAATCAAGGTGATAGTACAGTTTGCACATTTCTTGCCATTCTTTTTATCTTGATCTTACTAAAAAAAAAATCCGTATTATGTATGAGCGTAGCTGCCTTCATAATGCCATTCTTTGGATTTTATTCGCTTGGTTCCCTGGATATAAAAAGCTGGGCAGTCTTTGTTAAAACACGCCTCCTTATTTAGTGAATTTGTACACACTTTTGGGTGGAAATATTCGGAATTATCACATGATGTTCCTGTACTTAGGATATTTGTGCAGTTTCGTGGGTGGTTATATTTGCATGTTCCATTACTTCCTGATAGCCCATATTTCCATACAACCCCATGCATACTTCCGGCAGGTTCCTAGTTCATGCTGTGTTTGGTTATCTTGGTTTATCTTCACTACACTCTGGGGTGACTCTTTGCTGATAGATTTAGGAGTAGGTCTTGCAGATGTATGCCCAGTCACTTCCTTTTGCGTTGGATGCGTTTGTTCATGTGGGACTGTGCGCGGACTTTGTTCATTAGTGCCCGTGAACACTATTTTCGTTCTGTAGTCCATTTGTCTCTTCCATATACCTGGGCTGCCTGTACTTTTCGTTGGCAGTACTCTGTAATGTTTGAGCATGCAGTAACGAGGGAATTTCTATCCTGTTCAAAGAAAATGTTTTTAAAGAAAATTTGCTGTCTTCAGAAAGAAGCAATTATCCTCATTGTATATCTAGAATATGAAGTTACTAGCCAATCCCTTTTCCTTTAAAGTAACGATGTTTGACACAGTTAGTACTCGCCTAGTTGTACTCACCTAGTTGTGCTTGCGGGGGTTGAGCTGTGG